GCGTGTAACATCGAAGCTCACGTTGGATGGCCTCCTGCATGCGGTGGGCTACTACCTGATCGGGGTCCTCTCCACGAGCTGCAGGAACAGGCTGGGGCTCGGGTACTCGACTGTCCTCCAGATACTCGGTGAGCTCGTCTGACTGGGCGATCTCACCATCCATGCTGCTTCCAGGCGCCAGTGCGCATAGGTTTCTCCCCCCGTCCAGCGACATTGGCGACACACCAGGCATCTCGTACCTGTCCTGGTCCTGGTCATCCAGCAGCCTATCAAGATCCTCAAACGGGTCGGCCTCGCCATCCATGTTGTGGAGAACGCCGCCAGCCACAGGACGCGGGGCGCAGGGGAGATCCCTCGTGTTGTCCGCTTGACTGACCTCCTGCAATGACCTTACGGGGAGGGCATCAGGGCGAGCATCGCAGCGTCTCTCAGCGCTGCGGTGGGTCTCGCTCGGGCTCACAGGGAGGGCGTCGGGGCGAGCGACGCAGCACCTCACCAGGCCGCTAGGAGGAGGGTCTTGTGCGAGGGCATCGGCCACCCCACCGCTGTGGGCCTCGCTCGGGCTTACAGGGAGGGCGTCGGGGCGAGCGACGCAGCACCTCACCAGGCCGCCAAGAGGAGGTTCGTGTGCGAGGGCATCGACCACCCCACCGCTGTGGGCCTCGCTCGGACTTACAGGGAGGGCGACGGGGCGAGCGTCGCAGCTCCTCACCTGGCCGCCAGGGGGACGTGCATGTGCGAGGGCATCGGCCACCCCACCGCGGTGGGCCTCGCTCGGACTTAGAGGGAGGGCGACGGGGCGAGCGTCGCATCGCCTCACTAGGCCGCCTTCAGCTCCTTCGTGTGCGAGGGCATCGGCCACCCCACCGCGGTGGGCCTCACGGGCAGCAGGCTGCTCGGTCAGGGTCGAGCTAGCCTCGTGCAGCGCCTCCTCACCTGGGTGGCGATCAGGGTCAGGGCGAGCAGGCTCCTCGCGCACACGCCCGTGTGCAGGGCCCACCTGGCCCGAGCGCGTGGCGGGCCCCTCCTGGTGCAAGGTGAGCTGCACAACCGTTTTCGTCACGTAGTCTTGCACACCGAGGATGTGCTGGGCCCACCTGGCCGCGACATTCCACGCACTCACTTCTGGCCCGTGCCGAGCTCGTCGTCGAGGAGGTCGCCACTCCAGCTGGCGGGTGCGCTGCTGCACAGGGCCTTCCCGCCCCACGTAGCGCTGCTTGCGCTTGCCGACGATGTCGTGTCTGCCAGCCAGCTCCTCCTCCACGCCTCTGAGGACCAGGTCCCATGCCACCGCAAGCTGAGGAAGAGACTGCGCTTGATCAATGGAGAGATACACGTCCTCCCACCCATGCCAGGGATACCTCGCACATCCCACGGGGAGCTCCCGCGGGAAGGGGCGCGGCTCGTCTAGCTCGCGTGCCATCGGCGCCTCGGTGCGCTTGGCCAGTGTGAGATGCACGGGCCTGTGTGGCCAAATAATGTCGGTGACCGAAACGTCGACGGAGTACCTGGCCCCCTGGAGCATCGGGCGGTGGGCAAGGAAGTAATCCAGAGTAGTAGCTGGCACGGCCTGCAGGCAGGTGGGCCCCCGCGGGGCCACGCACATGGCATCGGCGAGGTGGAGCCAGTCATGCTCCAGCAGCTCCTTCGGGGCCATGTTGAAGTCGCCGCCAACGATCCATGCCAGACCTGGCCCTGTAACCACGCGCTTCACGTACTGCGCGACCTGCCAGACGATGGCCAAATTGCGAGGCGACCTGCCCTCTCCTGTGTGTAGGTACAGCGCCACAGCTTCCAGGCTGTGCTGCATGCACGTGGGCTGCCACGGCCCTGCCAGGCACAATGACCCCGTCATCCAGCAGCGGCGCCTTTGTGACGGCGATGTCTGTCTTGGCCAGGACAGCGACGCCGCCTTCCGTGCCGCCAGCCGCTGTGGCCAGCGCGGGGCACCACACTCCTTTCCAGCCCGAGTCCTGGGCATCTCCCTGGACCTCAGGGAGCTTCTCGGCACCTGCATGGTGCTCCTGCGCCAAGACCACGTCGCTGCTGCAATCGGCGAGGTACCTGGACAGGGTGCCAAACGAGTTGGCGTTGACGGTAGTTATCTGTAGCTTGCTGCGCGTCATGACTGACAACAGCGTGTGCTCAGGCTGTGCGTGGCTTCTTGACCACCTTCCACTTGGGCTTGGCCAGACGGATTCGCTTGACTGCAGCACGAAGTTCCTCTTCTGATGCATCTGTAGCGTTAGGAAAGTCAGCACCAGACTCGCGTAGGAACTCGCGCAGCTCCTCGGCTGTGGCCTGGTTGACGGACTCTTCCTCCTGGGCATCGCCTTCATCCTCCTCCATGGCAGCGTCAACTCTGGCTGCTGCCTCCTCGGCGTGCTCCTGCTGAGCCTGGGTGGCCTCGCGCTCGGCATGAGCTTTGCGCCCCTGCTCCTGAGCCTGCCGATGCTGTCGCATCCTGTCCACCACCTTGGCCACGTCCTGTAGCAGGTCAGGAGGAGCCTCAGCAGCAAGTAGGGCTTGCTCCAACTTGGGCATTGTCCAACTGCTCTCGTCGTCGCCAGCACCTGCGCCAGGAGCCGCTGTAGGAACCTGCGGCAGCGCACCAACCAATTGGGCCCGCTGGCCCTCGAGCTCCAGCAGCTGCTTGCGGGACTCGGCCAAAGCGGCATCCTGCGTGACGATCTCCGCCTGCAGGGCCGCCAGCTGCGCTTGCTTGAGCTCACGGGCCGTCTGCTGCTTGGTGATCTGCTGCTCGACTTTGGTGATCTTGAAACCAAGAGACTTGAGCCGCTGCGAGGGCGGCTTTTCCTGGAACAGCTGCGCACGCAGCTTGGCTTGCTCAGACTTGTACTGCTCCACCAGCTTCTCAACCTCTGGCGTGTGTATCCCAGCCAGCTGCCTGACGAAGCCGTCCAACTCGTCCAATCTTTTCTTGACAACCGACTCAGCTCCCGCATCGCCTTCCCCTTGCTCCGCTCCCGCCGTGGGCATCGCTGACTCGGGTGGCTTGGCTTTCGCCTGCTTGAGCTGCGACGTGAATGATTGGACCTGCTTCTGCATCTCGAGCAATTGGACCGAGAGCGATCCTGCTGCTTTGCCGCCCGCGGCCCACGGCGCTGGCCGAGAGGGCACGCTGGGCTTGACGGGTCCCCCGTACACGACGCTCTTGGCCAGGCCGCAACTGTTGCAGCACAGCTTATCCGCGAAGTTGACGTAGGGCTTGTGATCTCGTCCGAGGCAAGACTTGCAGAGCCGTTTGTCACGCCGGGCTGCACGACTGCCTCCTCCCTTGTTACCAGCAGCGGGCGGCGCCATTGCTCCTCAACCACAGACTCAGAAGCTGTGCCCGCGAGAAGCAGAATGACGGCTAGGCTGACCACTGGAGGAAGAATCGTATTCAAAGGATTTGGCCTCAAAGCGCGAACCCCCTCGCGCTCAGAGACGCCCGAGAACGGACTCGCGGTCGTCGGGCGGTTCATAGCCTTGAGCCAAAATGGCTACGGATGTGTGTGTGTGTGTGCGTGTGTGTGTGTGTGTGTGTGTGTGTGTGTGTGTGTGTGTGTGTGTGTGTGTGTGTGTGTGTGTGTGTGTGTGTGTGTGTGTGTGTTGCGCGTGTGTGTTGTGTGTGTTGTGTGTGTTGTGTGTGGATTGTGTGTGTTGTGTATGTGTGTGTGTGTGTTGTGTGTGTGGTTGTGTGTGTGTGGTTGTGTGTGTGGCCGCGGCCGCACCGCCAGAAAGCACAAGCCGACTGACAGCGGGCTGAAAATGGGAGCTACACGCTCCAGCGCTAACAAGCGCCCGCCGCAGGCGGCAGGGTCGGATCGGGCCTACACGGCCGCGCCAGCCCTGTAGCGACGGCTGGGCCAAGCAGAGGCCGCGCCGCAGGACGGGTCGGGCCTGCACGGCCGCGCCTGCCCCCTTGGGGCTATGCCCCTTCCCCTGGGCCGACGGGGGGAGTGGGGGGCGGGGCCACCAGGAAGGGACCGTACGCCGTCCGAGGGGGGTGGGGTGTGCAGCACCCGAATGTGGTACGTGGGGCGGGAGCAACGGCCCAGGCACCGCCGAAGCGGTCCCCGCCGCGATGGCAGGGGGTTGCTCGCACGTCATGGACGCACATTCGGGCACAGCCTGCCCATCCCCCCCAGGCCAAAGAGGGGAGAGGACAAGAAGGAGGAGGAAGGAGGAGGACAGGGATAGGGGCGAGCGGAAGACCCCACGAGCGACGGACGGCCCCCCAGGCGCCCCCCGCCCGCAGAAGACCCCGCTCGGCCGCAGGGGGCCCCATTCTCAGGGCGCGGAGGTATTTATCTCGGGTGTATTCCCACACTCGGCCTTGCCGCGCCTGGACAGCGCACAATCTGAGCAGGCAAGCTCAGCCGAGGCCCCCCACCGCGGGAGCAGCAGCTCCACCAAGGGTGTGTGTGTGTGTGTGTCCTTGCAGGCCAGCCCGTACGTCCTCCCTGAATGCTCAACACTGGGGCCATGCTCATCTTCGGCACGGGCACGAGGACGAGGAGGTGGGGAACGAGGAGGATGAGGAGAAGGAAGAGGGGTGAAGATGAGATAGAGAAAGAAGTCCTATATTTGTCTGGGTGTCGCGCGCCAGCCCGGGCCCTCAGCCGCGACGTCAACAGGGCGCGGGCCAAAGGGCGCTGGAAGTTACAGCTGCGAAGGGGGTCTACACAGCGGGTGCCGAAGGCGTAGAGGAGCGAAGGATAGGGAACACGGATCACTCGTCCTACGCTTCTCCTGCTGCTCCCCTCTACTTCTCCTCCACTTCCTTCTCCTGCGTGACTGCCGTCTCCGCCTCTTTTTCCTCATTCCCAGCCCTTTGCCTCCTCCCCGTCCTCCTCTTCCTCCTCCTCCTCCTGCTCCTCCTCCTCCTGATCCTGCTCCTCCTACTCCTGCTCCTCCTCCTGCTCCTCCTCCTCCTCCTCCTCCTCCTCCTCCTCTTCCTCCTCCCCAGGCCCTCCCCTCTGCCGCCCGCTCTCCGCACAATGTTCGCGACGGTGTGGACCCGTGCCATCTGGCGCCGCGGCGGCGCACGAATGGCGTGAACGGGCGGGCCGGCGCGAGCGACTTGACCGAGCGGTCCGACTGTTGGACCATGGACTGGAGCAGGAGGAGGAGGAGGAGGGGGACGTGGAGGAGGGGGAGGAGGAGGAGGAGAAGGAGGAGGGGGAGGAGGAGGAGGACTGTTGGACCATGGACTGCCAGTATGAAGGGGGAGGGGGATGTGGAGGAGGGGGGGGGGAGGGGGAGGAGGACGGAGGGGGGAGGAGGACGGCAGGCCGGCGCGAGCGAATTGACCGAACTTGAACCAGCTTCTTCGGCGAGGAGCCGCGGGACCCCACCTCCCCCTTCCTCCTCCTCCTCCTCCGCCACCTCCTCCTCCCCTCCTCCTCCTCCCCTCCTCCTCCTCCTCCTTCCCCCTCCTCCTCCTCCTCCCCTCCTCCTCCTCCCTCCTCCTTGACGCCCTCCTCCCCCTCCTCCTCCACCTCCTCCCCTCCCCTCCCTCATCCCTCCCCCTCCTCCTCCTCCTCCCTCCTGCCTACTCCTCCTTCCTCCCCCTCCTCCTCCTCCACATCCTCCTCCTCCTCCTCCTCCTCCTCCTACCTCCTCCTGCCTACCCTCCTCCTCACCTCCCCTCCTCCTCCTCCTCCTCCTCCTCCTCCTCCTCCATCCTCCGCCTCTCCTTCCTCCTCCTCCTCCTCCTCCTCCTCCAGACCCTCCCCCTCCCCTCCTCCTCCTATCCTCCCTCCTCCCTCCTCCTCCTCCTCCTCCTCCTCCTCCTCCTCCTCCTCCTCCAGATCTTGCCGCTGCAATTCATTCTTTCACACCGGCCGCCGTCGCCCAGCTCTCGGGCCGCGGGACCCTCACGGATCGAGGTGTGCGGCTCGAGGAGCGGCGCGGGCTCGGGCCGTCGGTTTTGTTCTTGTTGCGAGGCTTCGACTTTTTTGAAGGGGCCCACAAATAAGTAACAATAAATACACACAAATAACTACACACAAATAACACACACAAATAAATACACACAACTAACTACAAACAAATATCAAATACATACACACAAACAAATACACACAACTATAACAATGATCCCAGTGCGACCCTATACCTAGGAGTTGGCGCCTCCAGGAAAGCAACATTAGCAGCAGCAACAGTGGATGCTGTGCTGCGCCATGCTCTGCTATGCAATGCTGTGCTGTGCTATGCTATGCTATGCTGCGCCATGCTATGCTGGGCTAGGCTAGGCTAGGGTATGCTATGCTATGCAATGCTGCACTGTGCTATGCCAATCAATGCTATGCTATGCTGCGCTATGCTATGCTATGCTATGATGAGCTATGCGATGCTATGATATGATATTATTGGTTATGCTATGATATGGTATGCTGTGCTAATGCTGCGCTGCGCTATACTACGCTGCGCTGCGCTAAGCTAAGGTAAACTAAGCTATGCTAAGCTAAGCTAAGCTAAGCTAGGCCAAGCTAAGCTAAGCTAAGCCAAGCTAAGCTAAGCTAAGATGAGATAAGCTAAGCTAAGCTAAGCTAAGCTAAGCTAAGATGGGATAAGCTAAGCTAAGCTAAGCCAAGCTAGGCTAGGCAAAGCTAAGCTAAGCTAAGCTAAGCTAAACTAAGATGAGGTTACACCCATGCTATGATATGCGATGCTGCGCTATGCGATGCTACGCTATGCTATGCTGTGCTGTGCTCTGCTATGCTAAAGCTCAGCGAAGCTTAGATGAAGGTAGGCTAAGCTAAGACAAAACTGAGGTAATATGAAGCTAAGCTAAGGTCAGATGAAATAAGCTAAGCTAAGATGAGATAAGCAACGCGAAGCTAAAAGAACGTCACTGGGGGAACCGCAGGGCGGATGCCCGGGGAACCGCCCGGGGCGGATTCCACTGCCCGGCCCTTTAAGCCTCAGAGTAAGAACCCGTCTAGGCAGAGCCTAGGTAGGGAATGATCCCCATATTTTCCCATATTTTCAAGGTTTTTGTCTTCCCCCCCACTTCCCACATTTTCCCATATTTTCGGGGGAATCGCCGATTCATTGCGTCTGTGTGCTTTTTTCCCCTCCTGATTTTTGTTTTTGCAACGTCGTACCTCAGGGAACCAGGGGGGGGGGGACGAGGAGGAGAAAGAGGGGGGAGGCGGAGAGGGAGGAAGGGGACGAGGAGGAAAAGAGGGGGGGGGGGGGGGGAAACGAGGATGAGAAGAGGGGGTAGGACGGAGAGGAGGAGGGGAGCGAGAGTGGAGGGGGAGCGGCAGCCTGGCCCAGCTTGTGGAGCAGAAGTGGAGGTACCCGTTCAGGCGCCGTTCGCGCCATGTGAACTGATATATATATATATCATCTAAAAACAAAATCAAAAATGCTATATATATATATATAGTAAACACCAAATTTTTGAAACAAATAGTAGCGACATCGTCCCCAGACTACTCCTTTAACTCTCTCCGAAAACTCCGCCTGTGGAGGGACGGGCCCGGCTTGGTGAAGGGGCCCCAGAACACACAAATAAATACACAAATAAAATTATTCCCCATATCATCATATATTTTCTGGGTTGTTGTCTTCCACCGTTGTTGTCTTCCACCCCACTTCCCATATTTTCCTATATTTTCCTGGGGATCGTCGATTAGTTGTGTCTGTGTGTTTTTTCCCCTCCTGACTCAGGAACGCCGCCCCCCTGCGGGTCCAGGTGGTCCCAGAGGGGGGCGCCGGCGGAGGTCCTGGGGAGGTCCTGCCCTCTGGGTCGGCGACACCAGCCGCAAGGCCTTCGCAGTGTTCCCCCCCCTAAAACAAGGCTAGGATCGGGATAAACCGCTCCAGAGCATTCCGGAGCGCTCTCAGAGCGTCCCGGCACGCTCGGGAGCGGCCGCGGCGCCCAAGACATCCGCCAAACCCGCCGATTCTCAGAGATTTCGAGTTATCCCGATCCGATTTTGTCCCGATCTTCGCGTCGTTTGACGATCTCAGGCTGACGGGCATCCCGCGAAGATTGGAGCCGGACCGGCGGCACCTGTCCTGCTGCAGCAGCCACTTCACACCGGGCGGACGGCGGGGGCGAGCACCGGGCCCCCCAGCTCCAGACAGGGAGGGCGAGGAGGAGGGGAGGAGCAGAGGGGGGAGGAGGAGGAGGAGGAGGAGAGATGAGGTAGGAGGTCTGAGGAGGAGGAGGAGAGGGGAGGAGAGAGAGTATGCATGTGCTGCCCTCCCCTCCCCCTCTTGCGGCGCCCCTCTCGGCCTTAACGACAGGTCCAGGGCGGCCGGCAGGCCTCCACCAGGCCCCCTCGGACAGCCGTGCGGCGCTGCAGCCACGGCCCGCCACGGCATCCCGGCGATGCCTCCCAGTCTGCCCCGAGGTCGCTCCACCCCTCCCCTCCCCGCCTCCTCCTCCTCCTCCTCCTCCTCCTCCTCTCCCGCCTCCTCCTCCTCCTCCTCCTCCTCCTCCCCGTCCTCACTCCCTTCTCCGCCTCCCTTCTCTCCAATCCTCATCCTCCTCCTCCTCCTCCTCCTCCTCCGGCGCTCCTCCTCCTCCCTCCTCCTCCTCCTACCTCCTCCTCCTCCTCCTCCTGCATCCTGCCTCCTCCTCCTCCTCCGCATCCTCCTCCTCCCTCCTCCCCTCCTCCTCCTCCCTCCTCCTTCCCTCCTCCCCTCCTCCTCCTCCTCCTCCTCCTCCTCACTCCTCCTCCTCCTCCTACCTCCTCCTCCTCCTCCTCACTCCTCCCTCCTCCTCCTCCTCCTCCTCCTCCTCCTCCCTCCCCCCCCCTCCTCCTCCTCCTCCTCCTCCTCCTCCTCCTCCTCCTCCTCCTCCTCCTCCTCCTCGTCCTCCTCCTCCTCCTCCTCCTCCTCCTCCTCCTCCTCCTCCTCCTCCTCCTCCTCCTCCTCCTCCTCCCACCTCCCTCCTCCTCCTCCTCCTCCTCCTCCTCCTCCTCCTCCTCCTCCTCCTCCTCCTCCTCCTCCTCCTCCTCCTCCTCCTCCTCCTCATCCTCCCCCCCCGCGGCGACTTTCGAGAATCTCCTGCGGCGTCAGAATGCAGGCTGCGCGGGGTGGGGTTCTCGGGATTCGGCGTGGGTGCCGCTGCTAGCACTTCCTCAGAATCCCCTCCATTGCGCGCCAAGCATTTCCATCCCTTCGGGGAAGCTCGGTAGAGCCATTTCCTAGCAAAACCATCGAACCGAAGAAACCAAAGGAATGCTGGAGGCAAGCATGGTCTTTCTTGGCATGGGCTTCAACTGTAAACATATGCTCTTACACTGTCGCGTTCCACCCCGCCATGCATGAAAGACAGCGCAGCAGCCACTGAAGTGGCAAGCGCGGCTCCCCAGGCGCCCCCCAGAGAAGCCAGATCGCAAGCAAGCACCCGATCCGTCCTCGCCGCGCGAAAAAAGCACGGAGGCGCTGCTTCCCACGCCACGCTGTCAGTTCCGCCGACCCTTCTCGAGAGAACTCGGCACTGTAGAGCTCTCCTGCCTCGTTTCGATGCTGCGCTAGCACGGTTGCAGGACTTGCCACGGGCAGATGGTTATTTGCCTGCTTACTTACTTACTTACTTACTTACTTACTTACTTACTTACTTAATTACTTACTAACTTAAGTAAGCAATTAATTAATTAATTACTTTCCTACTTACTTACACCCATATATATATATGTATATACATCCCCAGGCCGACAAATGTTCCTCTTGGCGCTGAACCTGACGGTCCCACGCGGTGCACGGGTCCTCTGGATAATCATAGCGGCGAACCCAATGAGGGTCGCACGGATCCGATTTCCAACCTTACCGTAATCGTGAAATCGCAGCGGATCCCATTTCCGTGCGCGCGGATCCCATTTCTGATTTTCGGGATTCGCGTCGGAGCCTATTTTTTACGGCGCATCCCATTTCTACCCCGTTTTGAAGTTATAACATTGAATTCGTTCCGAGAACCGACAAGAATGGGAGGGATCCGTCGACCGCAGGCCACCCCCGCGTTAAGATTCTACGGGGGACGGAGGTGGTCCTCTTCGACTTCAAGAGGGAAAATCTTTCGTCCTGCGTAAGTATATGTACAGATCGGCTGCAATGACGGAGGGGTCCCTGCTCAGAAACACTGTGAGACTATGTGTGGGCACAAGGAAGTGGCCGACTCGTGGCACTGTACAGACAACATTCGGCTCCACATTCTGGCCGCATCCTGGCCGCATCCTGCAGAACTCTGGCAAGACCCTCGCCCGACGGTGACGACGACGACGATGCGACGATGACGATGCGACGATGACGATGCGACGATGACGATGCGACGATGACGATCGCCGTCATCGTCAGCGTCACCGCCCCCTTCTTCATGTCAGGAACCTGCGGCAGGGCCACCTCGGCGGCGCCGAAGGGGTGCGGCTTGCACAAGGTGTGGCTTACAGCCGGCACCCTGGGGGACACCCTGAAGGGGGGCGGGCGGGGGCCTCCATCGAGCTCTCCGACGCGCCCCGAGGAGGCCCCACGAGGACAGCGTCGTGCCCCCAGGCCCCCAGCGGCGCCGATCGCAAACCACACCCCGGCGTAACCACAGCCTTTGTAGTCTCGGGAGCGGCCCAGAGGGGGGTGTCCAAGAGGGGGGGGTGCAAATCATGACCGGCGGCATGTGCGCGGCCCAGCGGGGGGGCCAGGGACGTAATGAAACAAGAAGAGGCGCCATGAAATCTGAGGAAAAATCATGGCCCGCGCCATGAAATCCACCCCCCCCCTAGTCATCACCCCCCTCTTTTCCGCTCCCGATAGTCGCCGACCACCGGTCCGCCGCAGCTCCAGCCTCTTTCCCGGGCCCGGGGCCCGTGGCCTGCCCGGCCCTCCCGACCGCTCCAGCGGGCGCCCGCGCCCGCGAGCCTGGAGCGCGCCGGGCGGTGTGCATCTGGCGATGTCGGGGCCGGGGCGGGCGAGCGGCGACTTTGGAGGGGCCCGCAAACAGAGAGACGCCGGCGACAGGACCCCCCACATCTGCCCATGCCTTCTCGGGTTTTGTCTTCCACCCACTTCCCATGTTTTCCCGTCCTTTCTCGTTGTGTCTGTGTGTTTTCAAGGGGGCCCAAGGACACGCAAATAAGTTATCCCAGTGCGACCCTACCTAGGAGTTGGAACCCCTAGGAAAGCAGCATTAGTAGTAACAGTAACGCTAAGTTAAAGCTAAGCTAAAGCTAAGCTAAAGCTAAGCTAAAGCTAAGCCACAGCTAAGCTAATGTTAAGCTAAACCTAAGCTAAAGCTAAGCTAAAGCTAAGCGACAGCTAAGCTCAAGCTAAGCTCAAGCTAAGCTAAAGCTAAGCTAAAGCTAAGCTAAACGCTAAGCGAAAAGCTAAGCGAAACGCTAAGCTAAAGCTAAGCTACAGCTAAGCTAAAGCTAAGCTAAAGCTAAGCTAAAGCTAAAGCTAAAGCTAAAGCCTCCCAGGGGACTGGGGGGAACCGCTCCCAGGGGACTGGGGGAACCGCCCGGGGCGTGTTGCACTGCCCGGCCCCTTTAAGCTAAGAGAGTAGAACCCTTCTAGGCAGAGCCTAGGTAGGGAAATACTCCCTATATGTTCCCATATTTTCTGGGTTTCTGTCTTCCCCCCCATTCCCATATTTTCCCATATTTTCTGGGGAAGTCGAAATATTAATTGTGTCTGTGTTTTTTTTTTTCCCTCGTGATTTTGAAGGGGCCCACAAATAAATAGACGCAGACGGCAGGATTCCCCACATCTGTGCCCATGTCTTCTCGGGTTTTTCGTCTTCCGCCCACTCCCCATATCTTCCCCGTCCTCTCTCGCTGTGCCTGTATGTGCTTTGCTCCCTCCCGAGCTCTCCAGCACGGCGTGGCGTGCGCTGGCCCTGCTCTGGCCCTCCCGCTATCCTCCGGACGCCTCCCGGGGCGTGCGCGGGCGCCCGCGCGGGCCTGCCCACCGAGGAGGAGGAGGGAGGAGGAGGAGGAGGAGGAGGAGGAGGAGGAGGAGGAGAGGAGGAGGGAGGAAGGAGGAGGGAGGAGGGAGGGAGGAGGGAGGAAGGAGGGAGGAGGAGGAGGAGGAGGAAGGAGGAGGAAGCAGGAGAAGAAGGAGGAGGGGGAGGAGGAGGAGGAGGAGGAAGCCCTTCGGCACGGCGCGGGCGACGCAGCGAGGGCCGGCAGAGGCCGCCTGACACCGGCGGACCTGAGCGAGGTGAGCACACCTCGGCAGCACACGTGCTGGGGATCAGAGAGAGGGGCCCTGGGACACGCAAACAAGCAGGCACGGGTAACAGGATTCCCCAGACCTTCCCACATCTTCTGGGCTTTTGTCTTCCCCCCCCATTTCCCATATTTTCCCATATCTTATGGGGAACCGACGATTCATTGTGTCTGTGTTTTTTCCCTCCCGATCATCGATCGTCGATCCTCATTCTCTTCCCCATCCTGCCGAACCGAAGAGAGAAGGCAAGCGGCAGCCGGGCGCCGCCTGCGTGCCTGACATGGGGCTCCCGCCGGCCAAGGACGCCACGCGGGATACCACGTCGTAGCTGCCAGTTTCCGCGGATGACTTGCGCGCCTCCCCTTGGAGACTACGCTCCGACACGGGCAGCAGCTCGATCAGCCGACCAGTCAACACGATGAAACTCTGCCTCTCCATCTTTCCCTCCCTCGATCCTTCCCTCCGCCTGCTACTGCCTTCCACACCTCCCTCTCTCACTCAATCCGTCCCTCCCCCCTTCCGTCATTCCGTCCGTCGGATTCCGTTTCTCCCTAGCGCTCCCCCCTCCTCCCTCCCTCCCCCCTCCTCCGTCCCTCTCCTCCTCCTCCTCCTCCTCCTCCTCCTCCTCCTCCTCCTCCTCCTCCTCCTCCTTCCATTCCCATCCTCTCCCCCCCTCCTGCTCTTGACGTGCCTCCTCTCCGTGCCGTACGCCTGGCGCAGCACCGGGGAACGCCCGATTGACGGGCGGGAGCCGCGCGTCCTCGGATCCGACGGCCACGCATGCACGTCTAGGTTCACTGCGCAGCCGGGGTGCGATGGCTCCAATTCTCCCTCGCGTCGTCGAATCCCCGTCCGTATCATTACTCAGCTCGTGTTTTTGCCTCTCGTCGTCCTCGTATTCTCGGTCGTCGTCGTCCTCCTCCTCCTCCTCCTCGTCTACCCCCCACTGCTCCTCCCTCTTCCTTACCCATCCCTCTCCTCCTCCCCCTCCTCCGCCTCCTCGTCCTGGGACCTGGGTCTGAAGGCAGGGGTGTACGTAGATACAGAAATCGCTGTTCATACACATATGCACACACAATCCAAACATGACTGGACAAGTCGACAAGGGCCATAAGCGCCGCTTTCCCTTCTGCTCGGCTCGCAGGACGAAGACGAGCAGAAGGGAGAGCAGGAGGACATGGAGGCGGGTGATGAGGACAGCGTTAAGGACGAGGAGAAAGCGGGGATGACCAGGAGGAGAATGAGATGGAAGACGACAAGCGTCAGGACGAGGAGGATGAAGACGAGGAGAACGAGCTGGAGGACGACAAGATCGACACTACTAGGAGGGGTATGAAGCCGGCAGCGCGAAGACCAGGAAGAGGGCAGCGTCGATGAGGGGGAGCGCGGGGAGGAGGAAGAGGAGGGAGGAGAGTAGGGGGAGGAGGAGGAGGAGGAGGAGGAGGAGGAGGAGGAGGAGGAGGAGGAGGAGGAGGAGGAGGAGGGGGAAGAAGATGAGGAGGAGGCTATCGAGGAGGACGACGAGTCCCACCAACCCTTTGGGGCGTAGACGGGTTGGAGCGTTTCCTCGTCCAACCCTCCGCTTCCCCTTCCGGAGGGGTTCGTCACCGTGTCTTTATGAATGAATAACCCCTCCCCCACCCGACCTGGGACCATGCCAACACCCACCCGAATCTATTGCCCGAAAACACCTTGCACCCAAATCTGGATCAAGCGCGGACGCCCCGCGATCTCTCGGCATAATTTTGGCAGGGACGTCGGGGGGACCCTCACATTTCGGCGGCGAGCGAGGGGGGAAAATGAGAAGGAGAAGGCCTTCTCTGAAGGCGGCGGGATTTCTTAGACGCCCCCGCGCCCTCCGAGAACTTCTGCTGCGTCCTCGGGAAGGCTCAGAAACTTCCTCGGAAGGCCGGGGGACCTCCGAGCCCTCCGTGGATGCCCGCCCCCTCTCGCTTCCCCATCTCGCCCGCCGCCGAAACTGTTCCGCGCGGCGCAGGCCCAACACCCGTGCCAGAACACGCGTCTGAGCAGTCCCGCCGCCTCCGGAGGAGGCCTCCGCCTTCTCGTTCCCCCCACCCGCTCGCCGCCGAATGCTGTCCGCGCTGCGCAGACCCCAACATCCGTGCCAAGACACACACACACATGCAAAACTCGGCTACACTTAAGTCGGGCCTGTCCCCCTACAGGGGGATTTTCGTCGAAAGTAAAAAATACCCCAGAAGTAATCAAAAAATAATCCAAACATAGTCTGGGGGTATGTTTTGACCTTTTTGGAATATTCGGGGGGTATTTTCTATTTTCGTCGAAAATCCCCCTGTATGGGAGGCAGGCCTGACATAAGCCAAGACACACACATGCAAAACTCGGCTACACGCAAATGTGGCCCTGGGTAAGAGTGACCTTCGGCGCGCGGTTCTTTGGGGGCCGCGGGGAGGCCAAACGTGGGCGCGCTGGCCGCTGCTACCGCTTCGCGCTCGGCCATATGGGGGCCCATCTGTGCCCGCACCAGAGGTCGCTCTGGCGAAAGGTCACTCTTACGTCTACCCTGACTCCGGATCCGCCCTATTTCGGGGAAGTTCGTAAGTAGGGAATGGAATTCCCGCCTTACTTTTCTCAAGCCCCGCTGCTGCCAATTGCCGCCCTCCTTTTGTTGCTGTCCCCGCCCTACTTATGTGGACTTCCGCCCCGCTGTATGCTGGGTGCAGAAATTTCCGCCCTCTGTTTTTTGGGCCTCGTATGGGTGGATTCCCGACGCAATTTTAAGCTGGAAAAAAACAAAGTAGGGCGGATCTGGAGTCAGGGTAGTCGACACATGCAAAACACACACACAAACACAAACACAAACACAAACACAAACACAAACACAAACACAAACACAAACACAAACACAAACACAAACACAAACATATATATACATATATATATATATAGAGATATGATTCGCGGGTCGAGAGCGCACCTCTTCCGGTCGAAGCTAAGCGGGCCGCGCGAAGCTTGAATTAACAAAGACGGGGGGACAGAAGGAGCGCGGCCCCACGGCCACGGCAGGGCCAGGAGGAGGCACAGCCTCGGGACCAGGCGGTGCCGAACGCGACGTGCTTGCCGAGGAACGCCTTGTACAGGAACCCGGTGGCGAAGTACCGGCAGAAGCAAAATGCTGCGGTTGGCGTTGCCGTCCACCAAAACCCACTTTTTTGGTCGCCGGGTCGGGAGCGGGCCCTTTCCAGTCGAGGGCTAAACGGGGCGCGGGTAGCCCTATTTGGGGACACAGGGCGCGGGCGGGCGGGGCCCCAGGCGGCCGGAGGGCTCAGAGAACAAGCGGTGCCGAAGATCTTGCACAGGACAAGGTGCGCCTTGGACTGGAGCAGGGGGCGCGGCCCCACAGGGAAAAAGGACTGGTGTTGCCGTCATCGGCGCGCCAAGAACACCATCCTCGACTGCTGCGCGTGAGGAGGGCCGTGAGCAAGTCAACGTCCGCGAGGTAGAGGAAGACCAGCCCACCAAAACACACACACACACCTGGACGCCCGAATTATCCGGGGTAGCTCCGGTCCGGGGTAACTCGGGCTCGGACTCCCGAAAAACGAACCCGAGTTAGCCCTGACCCGAGTTACCCCTGATGATTCGGGGCTCTGATCAACGTCCGCGAGGTAGAGGAAGACCAGCCCACCAAAACACACACACACACACAAACACACACACACACACACACACACACACTTGGTGGTCCCCAAACGTGGTGGTGAGAACACCCGGTGGTGAGTTTTGGGCGATTTGGGTGATGGTCTTCGAGCGCTGGCTGGCCCAGGAAACGCAAAACCTCGTGGCGACCGCGTGTCCCCAAACCCGGCGGTGACCCAGAATTCTTTTTTGGGGGGAATCGGGGTCACCACCGGGTGTCTCACCACCTGGTTTGGAGACCACCAATCTGTCGGCTGCGCGAGCTCTTGCTGCTGGGTGAGCCGGCGTGCTCCTCGATGGTCCCCGCCGAGACAAAACGCACAACGAGCGATGCCAAGACACGCTTGCGTTATGTCGGGCCTGTCCCCATACAGGGGCATTTTCGACGAAAAACCCTACAGGGGCATTTTCGACGAAAAATAAGCCCACACACACACTGAGAAGCAGACTCCGCACCCGGCGCAGGGAGGCGCGCCCCGCGGGCACGCGGCGCCGGCTCCCCCGCGGACGGGAGGGCGGCGGCGGTGCCCTCAGAGTGCCCGCTCTGCGCGGGCCCAGCGCTGCATCACTGCCAGCGCAGGCCTCCTCCTCCTCCTCCTCCTCCTCCTTCCTCCTCCTCCTCTCCTCCTCCTCCTCCTCCTCCTCTCCTCCTCCTCCTCCTCCTCCTCTCCTCCTCCCTCTCCTCCTCCTCCTCCTCCTCCTCCTCCTCCTCCTCCTCCTCCCTCCTCCTCCTCCCTCCTCCTCTCCTCCTCCTCTCCTCTCCTCCTCCTCCTCCTCCTCCTCCTCCTCCTCCCCTCCTCGTCCTCCTCCTCGTCCTCCTCCTCCACCTCCTCCTCCTCCACCACCTCCTCCTTCTCCTCCGAGGGCCAAAGAGAGGCGGGGCGTCCCTCTGGGGGGGAAGCGAGGAGTGGCGGGCCTTCTCAGAGAGCTCGGAGCCCCCCGGCCTTCCGAGAAGTTCTGTGAACCTTCCCCGAAGAGACACGGACAACGTCTCGGAAGGCGCGAAGGGCTTCTGAGAAGTCCCGCCGCCTTCTGAGAAGGCCTTCTCCTTCTCATTCCCCCCCCCGCTCGCAGCCGAACAATGCAAAGCACCCTGTGTGGCAAAAGCTGGTCCATGCGCGGGCGCCCCGCGGTCATGTTGCATTGGTATTTGACCGAGGGAGCGGCGGGAAGTGCCCTCCTACTGGCTGCCCTGTGCAAGCTCACAATCCCTGACAACAATCAATACAAAGTGCACTGTACGGCAAGATCTGGACCATGCGCAGGCGCCGTGCAATCACTTTGCATTTGTTTGACAGGGACGGCGGGGATGCCCTAATGTTATCTGCTCTGTGCTTCCGACGGGACTCCTGAACTCAGTAGGATCGGAGCCCCCAGCTCGGCTACTGCCGATGTGTTGGGAGGGCGGGTGGGCGTGAGCGACACGGCTTGCGGCTTGGGAAAGCTTGATCACTGTTCCCTACTGATAAACACCCCCTCCGCCACCCGAAGAGCAGCCAACCCGGACCCATGCCACCCGGCCCCCTAACATCCCGGTCAAAAACCTACTCCGGAGTATACAACTTTGCCTCCGAATCTGGAGTATGCGCGGGCGCCCCGCGACCACCTTGCCTGGCTTTTTGACAGGGTGACAGGAACGGCTGGGGGGCTCTCAGATTGCTTGCTGAGCGCAAGCC